CTAAATAGTGTAGTCAGTATCTATTAATGTATTATTTTAGCCCATTATATCGAAAAAAGAAAGTGGGTACAGGGACGGAAAAGACGTGCACAATTTGCAGCTTCGATGGTGGAGTCAAGCAAATTGATGAGAGCTTTCTTTGCTGGAAGTGAAGACACCAGTAAGCCAGCATCTGTTTCTTTTCATGGCAGCAAAGAGGTCAAAGTGCAAGATTGTGAACATGCTATTTCATTTGAAAAAGAAAACAACGAAGAAACTGTTCACTGTCCTGTTGAAAGCTACAATAATAATAAACAAGAGGATTCCACTTTGTCAGAAATAAATCCACAGAATAATGTTGCTAAGCTAAAAGAGGATGACCTAATCAATGTTTTAACACACAGGGATATTGGATTTATGAAGTTTGATACAACAGGCTCAGCAGTTGTAACACATGCACATCGCACAGAGATTGTTAAAGTTGGAGCACATGAATTCCAACATAAAGAAGATCCATTTGATGTCAAAGATGGGCGTTCTATGACTGCATTTTGGTTCAAGCGACGCCTTCTGAATGGACAAGAGGTCAATCATTCCTGGTCGATGTATTCACCTCTACATAAAGCAGCATACTGCTTTTGTTGTCTTATTTTTTCATCTTCATGTATGATATCCGATAGTCAGTCTGCTTTCAAAACACAGGGTGGGTTCTCTAAGTGGAAAAAAATTTAAAAGTTAAATGCCCATGAAAATAGTGACAGTCATCGTGAGCCATTTGGTGCTTGGAAAGAAACTGGGCACCGAATTCGTCTTCAAAATGGCATTGATGAAGAGCTGCAAAGGCAAATTCAACAAGAAAAAATAAATGGAGAGATGTACTGTGACGGTTGCTGGATTGTACACAATATTTAGCTTCTCAGAATCTTGCATTTCGTGGTCCTACTGAGGACATAACCTCAAACGAAAACCCTGGAAATTTCCTGTCACTTTTGCAGTTATTAGCAAAGTATGATACAGTAATGAGAGAGCATTTAGAGCGTGTTAAAAACAAGCAAACGTCAACATCTTATCTTTCTCCTGAAATTCAAAATGAGTTTATAAATCTCATGGCTTCACATGTGCGAAATTATTGTTTGTCAGCAATTCGTAGAAACAAATACTATGGTATTCTGTTTGATTCCACACTTGATTTAGCCTATCGTGAGCAATTGGCCCAAGTGATTCGGTTTGTTGACATTGACTTTAAGATAAGAAAAGTAGAAGTCAAAGACTCATTTATTGACTTTATACAGATGAAAAAAAAAAGAACGCTGCCAATATTTAGAAAACAATAAGCACAAAATGAGAAGCGGATGGAATTTTATGATTGTTGTTCTACAATGTTTATGATAATGCTGCTGTCATGTCAGGTCATCTGACAGACGTTCAACAAAGAATTCTGAACAAAAATCCAAAAAGCAGTGTTTATAAACTGACAACCATTGTTTGAACTTAGCATGTCTTCATGCTGCAAATCAGGAAACAACAGTTATTACCTTTTTTTTGGTATAATTGAAGCCATTTATAATTTCTTTGCTCATTCAACAACTGGTTGGGACGAACTGCAGTAGGAGCTTAAGATATCTGTCAAGCGTGAATCAGAAACACTGTTGAAGAAGAAACTCTACTCGGTTTTGAGAAGAGAAACGGTGAAGCCCTTGATGAAGTTACTACCACTGATGTGACTGTTACCGATGATAGGACAATTCCCGATGGAGCAGATGAACCTCACGTGAAGCAGAAGCCAACTAAATGGAGACCAGTACAGAAGAAGATACGTCCCGTAAAACTAAGAGACTTTGTTGAATTTTAATTTTGTGTTTGTAAATTCTGTACATTTAATTAAGTTAATGTTAATTCTTTATTGGTTTAATGTAAGTGGCTATTGTTCGGGACGAACAATACTAAGGAAGGGGCAGTGTTACGACAGCGGTAGTCACGTGACGCTGGTAACACGTCATGATATTCTCGAAGGTTTGTGAATGCTCGAGTGTTTACTAGATGTGCAGTATTCTTGTATATAAGACCGCCAAGAAGTGACGGCAACAATGGAATTGAATTGCAGACATAGATAGAGACGGACAATTGAGTCAAGCACGTGAATCGTTCGTTGTGAATTATAGCGGTTGTTTAAGTTATAGCATGACTGTGGAAATTAAGTGTATTGCAAAGTTGTATTGAGAAAGAATAAACTAGTTTTATTTAAGAAAGGACTTGTATCGCTAAAGTTTCTTCGGAAAGAATTTTTACAGAAAATTAACAAACGAACACAGAGGCGTAACAATACTCACGGCCTCAAAAGTGCATATCGTGATTGTGCGACAAGGAGCCTCGAAACAGGAATCCTTGGATTCATAATGCAAACACGATAATCACTGTAATACGACTTAGCAAGTTCTAGTAGGGTTATGCGATAAAACATGAAGAGTTAGCGTTTTTTAAAAATAAAACCCGTAATTTGTACAATTTTAAATGGCTAAGCGCAGATCCGATCAATGTTGTATTTAGTCTTATTAAACACTATAATTCATAAAACAAATATTGATACCATAAGCAAGAAGAATAAAAGCCCAAATCTGACCGTAGGTTGTCTAGATTGATTGCATAAAAGTAAAATGTTTTACGTTCAATTGTATTAATTTTAGTACTTAATATCTGATCAAACTGCCGAGTTGCCATTCAAGTAAATATTATACATTAAGAACTTTCATTAGATAAAATTTTTATTATAGAGGGGGTTGCGAATTAGTTAGCTGGGCGGTGTTGTTAATGACGTAGAGTATTGATTTCTTCTTTGGGGTAGTTAGCCGATTGATAGTGGAGGTAGAAAAGTTCAAATTTAAGAACTAAAAAATGACGGATGCCAAATATTTCACGACCACCAAAAAAGGTAATGTAAAAAGAGCATACGATTGAAGGTATTATTTTCTTTTCTTTTTTTATCGAAGGGTAAGCTTATTACGAGAAACTAAAAGTAGTGAAACGTAAATCTTAAGTATTCAACATTTCATGCAGTGTGCTAGTATTAGTAGTAAAGTAAAAGTCTCAGTTGCTTAGTTACTAAGTTAGCCTGCATAGTTGCTGAAGTTGATATTAGTTCAAAACTTTACTTGTACTTTATGGCCTAAAGAAGCTTTTGAAATTCAGTGCGAGAATGTATAGCGCGACCTCTTATGGTTTTGCTGTCACAGTGTCAGTAGATCAAAAGTGCATGATAATAAACTAATCAACTTACATAGATATAAAATTATTAAAACACAAAATATATCAGGTGGTGATAATTATTAGGAAGTCATGAAAATAACTCCAGCAGAACCCGCAAAAAGATTATGGGTTTAATTTGTGTTTTCTTCATTTCAGTTTTTCTTGCAGGAAGTTGGTTTAAAATGAGCTATTACAACCATAAAAATGGTTGGGGAATTGATAAAAGAGAAGCTAAAAAACAAGAACAATGTGGATGAAACAGCATTTTTAAGTGTTCATATTTCTAAAGTACTGTTCCTTACGTGACTGATTATAGGTTTATTTATAACAGAAGGTGACACAGATAAACTTTTTGGAACTTCCATCTTCAGTATCTAAAGAACTAAATCATTCCTCAGTAAACAGCTAAAATACAATAACAATAATTGAATCAAAACTAAAACACACAAAAAGTGAAGGTCTAACAAATAAAAATACTGTAGATATTAAACAATGTACAATTTAAACAAATACTACATGTTGGTCAGTGTTGGTGAAAGTTATTTGATGTGGAAGGTTTCTTTAATTAGTTATTCCAGATCAGTGTTGGCTTTGCAAAGGATATTGAAATTTGATAGGTTGAGTTTGTGTTCTGTTTCTTCACTTATCAAATTTCAATATCCTTTCCAATATACATAGGTTTACAAATATGATATTTTAATGTTCATGTGTGTGTGCTAGACTTCTATGGTCCAGAACTTTCTGGAACTTGTATATTCTGGAACTGAATGATAACATGGTAAATGAGGAAAATTGGGATGGACATTTGAATGAGATTAACTCACTCTCAGAATCACTACTTGGTATATATACAGGATGGACCAAGGGTAAAGGAACTGAATGATAACACAGTAACTGAGGATGGAGACGAATATTTGAATGAGATTAACTCACTCTCAGAATCACTACTTGGTATATATATACAGGGTGGAACTGAATGATAACATGGTAACTGAGGGTGGAGACGGATATTTGAATGATCCATCCTGTATATATACCAACACAGGTTTTAATCAGTAGTGATTCTGAGAGTGAGTTAATCACTGAATGATAACACAGTAACTGAGCATGGAGACGGATATTTGAATGAGATTAACTCACTCTCAGAATCACTATTGATTAAAACCTGTGTTGGTATATATATATATATATA